GGGGGGGGGAGAAACAGCACTTAGGAGTGAAAAGAAAGGACATCAATGGGAGTAAACATTTGCTCCGTGTCACTGAATTCATCTCGTAGGTAAACTCATAAACACCCGTTCATCGAATAGGAGGCTTAACTGGAGATGTTGAAGACTTGCCTGAGGAGGAAGTAGGGCGTTTATTTGCCGCTGCATTCTTTGTAGCATTTCGCATATGCCGTGAAGTGGAAAGGCCAAGCAGTTCGAGATCTTGCACGGAGTTCATTCCCGCTTCTGCGTCGGCAGCTGCTGCAAGAACCCCCGGGAGGTCGGTACCTACACCCCCACCGCCCCCAGATCGCAGAGGACCGCCAACAACGCCCCCAACCATGAAATTGGGTAACCGGAATCGAGAGGAACTATCACCTGAAAAGCTTCCACTGCTTCCCTCGTGGCTGTCCCTCGCTGCAGCGGCCAACTCACGAGCCGCCTGCTTGGCCTGATTTAGGAGTGTGAGAAATAGATCAGAGCGTAGAAATCGACCGTAGGAATCACGCTCCATTAGGGCTTGAATTCGTTTCTGGGCATTTTCGAAGGTGTGAGTGGTAGGAGACATTAATTCGGCAATTGTCTGGTCTCGCGTAACCGAATCCAAATTTATCTACCAGACAGAGGAAAGAAAAATAGGTCTCTGAGGAGAAGATTTGCTTCTTTTCTTTGCAAAAAAATCGAAGATAAACGTGAAATTTTGTTAAATACAAAATGGTCTAAATAGCTGTACAATCTTAATGAAGTTATTTCCCATATTGAATGCATAATTGGGCAAAGTATTTATTAACTAAAAATATTAAGGGAAGAATATTCAAAATGTTTGGGTTAGATGTTTTGCAATATAGTTTTAATTAGAAAATTCATTAGAAGTATGCATTTATGCGAGACAATATTTCTGCAGAATCAAAAATCACATATTCTTTCCAAATAAAATGCATATTTTTGATCATGAAAAAATTGATTTTTGAAGAAAATAAAAGTAATACCTAATGTTATTAGGAAGTAGGAGCAAACAAGACAGACTTTACTGATCATAATTTTCAAGCCTATTTAACAAAACGTTTCCCAATGCCCGTAGAGGTTTAGGAGCTGTCGTTCGTAACCTTTAAATCTGTAGATGATTATGTTATGTACTTCAAAGTCGTTGCGCCATGCCTGATCTTTATTTGTTTCAATGTACTCTACCCCGTAAAAGTACACAGTAAAATGTTTCTAACGCCATTAATATTGAAGATTCAAATCTTTTGCTGTGACAAAGGAAATTAAGATATCCCCATCCATATCTCCGTAAAATATTGATTTTTGATTTAGCGTCAGTCAAATAGGGCTACCAATTTTGCCACCTGTTCATGCTCCTTATGAATATGCGATTGTATCTCTTCTTAGATCACAATAAGACGACTGAAATGGTAACCTGATGATCTGGAAGCGTCAGCGAGTTTTGGTATTCGTTCACCTAGGTGTTTCGTGATAATTCACTTAATTTTAAGCATTTTAATGGGAATTTGTAAATAAAGTTTACTTTAAATTCACCTGAGTGTCTATTCTTTTCTATTGGTTCATATTGGTAAATCGTTTTGAGAGAACAGGAGTGAGGGCAGTGTACGAAGCTCTGCTAAATCATTTTTTTATCTTTTCAATGAATGCAAACTAGTGAATATCATGCACGTTGAAAATATGATTTGTGTGATGAGATATTGTGCACTATTTTCTTGGCATTTCTGAGCAAAACTGGAAAGTACACGCTTAGTCGTTAAAGTAATCAGACTTTCGAATATTCGATCACATTGCAGTAGCTTTCTTTTTAAATGCCAACCTTGAAGGGTAATAAATGGCATTTAACAATGAATATTTAGAGAATATTTAATAATTTTATATCTGATACTAAATTAAATCAAGAGTTGAAGGCTCAAAGTCATGTGAAAGTAAATTTAAATATTTCATGGAGTAATTTTCATTGATAAAATGGGTTGAGTTTAATTTAAATTTGACATTCAAGAACTTTTTCTAATAAGCTCGGATCTAATGACATATTTTCTGTTTAAAGAATATTTAACTTTATTTGATTAAAAGAAGCTTTTTTTAATGGATTTTATGAGGACACTCGCTTGTAAACAGAACGAAATGGATTAATTTAAAGCAATTGCTTTAAATGAATTGATCTCATCTTTACGCGGGAGAATTAAATGTTTGAAAACTTGTTTGGCAAAATAAGAATCACATTTGAAACGTTTTTTTCTTCAATGGAGAAAATAAGACTTCGATTTTCTGAGCTCAAAACCAAATGCGTCAACTAACGGGTGTAGAATCCGGCTTTATGCAAAAGTCATATTTTGAAGGAAAGTCATATATTTTTTATTCATTCCCACAATTCATAAACATTTCAACAATTTTAAAAACATTCCATTGAAATAAAGAAATAAATAAAATATATATTCATTTCAATCAAGTTATGTTATTTTTATTTATAAGAAATACTCATGAAATGCAATGGCATGCTTCATTCAGGACAACTACTCAATCATCGTGCCAACATAGAAGGAGTAGAAATGCAATTTAAAAAGGTAAAATAAAAATTTCAATATTTCAAAATAGTAAAAAGGCTTTCTGAATTATTAAAATAAAGATGGGAGTGGAGTGTGGGAGTAGAGTAGAACAATAATGGTCTTACCTCTCGTCGGGCTTGTGTGGCTATAAAATCTTCATAAATCTTTTGGGCTTTGGCCTGCTGTTTCTTCGGGTGCGTTATGACCTTGTACTCCTCGCAGGCTATCCAAAATTCGATATTTTCGTCGCTAAATTCCGTGGCTAGAAACTCTTTGAATAGAGCAAGTCCATCTGAAATAATTAGAAGCAACTATCACCAACTTTGTCAGTACTTCTGTCTTCATGAATGAACAGGGAATAAGGTGTTTTATTTCTTCAATCGATCCTTTTCATTTTGATATTTAACATATGTTACTAGTATTTTTTTTCAATTTTAGGCCTGACGTAATTACATTCTGCTTGATTTTTAATGCAAATATCACCTAAATTGCTTGAATTCATCAAGATCACATTACCTATTCAGTCCTAAATGCGTAATGGCTACCGCCATTGGACAAGCAATTACTAGGATACCAATTTTATTCTTAATCGATCAGACAAATTAAAAATTTCAATTTTGGGAATTTAAAGCAGTTTTAAGAATTCTACCTGGTCAAAAATTCTAAAAAACAGAAAATTTACACTTCCTCCTTTCTACTCCTTCCTTTTCTATATAAAAGAGTTAGAAAAGAACTTTATCTGGTTTCTAACGGGGAAAAGTGCAAACACTAATTCTTTGTTTTAACACAATCAACCGTTCGATAACTAATAGTTTTCTCTTCAACAGCATTCACCGTAATTGCATCTCTTCAACTACCTTCCTCTACAATATTCCAGGTTTAGAATAGGGGTAGAATTTGAAGACAATTAATTTTGAAAGCTAGATTCTAAAATTAGATATTTTCTCCAAAATTAATGCACATTTAGCGTTTTTGATTAAAAAGGTCATGTTAAGGACGCAATTTAGACAAGACGGTTTGTGCCTTTAACGTAAAAATAATTTTTTAGTCTAAAAATGGAAATGTTTTTTTTCGCGAAAACAATAATTTATCAAACGAGACTTGAAGAATTCACAGCTTTTAAAACATTATTTATTTTGAGATAATTTGAAGTTATTCAAAAGGAAAATGATGGAGAATCATGGTGGTTACGAGTTAAGATGAGCATCCCTTGTGAGGGTTCATACTCGTTCAACAGGAAGTCTCGTCATACCGGCAAAGACTTATGCATCGCAGCTTTATGAAATTTGATTTATGGAGTCAGATTGTGAAATATATACCCTCTGGAAGTTGAATTTCCCAATTCAAGATTGATTTGCCTGAATTGAAGTTAATCTTGCCCTCTATGTTCGATGCTTCTGTCCATTTCTAATAGGTGCAGTCAATTTGAGACCCCTCCTCAAAAGGTCGAATTTCACTTTACTTATTAACTCCTTTTAGAGAAGAAATCAATTTGCTTCTCGAAATCTGAGCCGTTAACATTAAAGCATTGCTAAGATCAGCCTTCTTTCTTAATATTATAACAATTAAACATGAATCATCACTCAACAATAGATCATGCAACACTGAATCTGGTAGAAAATAATCTCAATCTTGAATCCTGGAGTAAATGAATGAAGATTAAGCAGAAGAATATAAAAAATGGAACTCTCCTCGCATTTGGGAAAAAATATACTTGTCACTGTTCCGATTTCGAGCAAAGCCATGACTTGCGATGTCATGAATCCACTACCTTCTCACCGTTTATTCTCACCCAGTTTCCTTCATAATTGAATCCACTTGCTCTTTCCTCCATTCAAAGGAGTTTCCACGATTAAAATGGGTTAGATTTTTACTCTTCAATGGACATTAGAATTACCAGTCTCCTTCAGAGTTTGCCAATACAAAATTTTATCTAGTAAATCTTTCAAAGGCACTCATTACAACAGTACTAAAGCACATGAAAATGATCTAACGTGTTACTAATATTTGATTATTAGTCACGTAGAATCAACGATGTAATGGTGGGTTTATAGAATTTACGTAGCCAGACAAAGAGATTATGAAGCTTTTAAATGAAATCGACAATGAAATTAATATGAATCATTGACTGTGCTTTTCATTGAATATTCTACTCGTAATATTTCGTCTGCAGAATTTTTTAATTCTTTATTATGAAAAATTGTGGAGTATTGAACTGAATGAAAGTGTGTGCCAAAATCTAGATTTCTTTTGAGCTATTCAAACGAATGTTTTGCTCAAAGTTTGCAAGTTATGGGTATTCAAAGAGATTTTTGGTGGCACTTGATTTTTTTATTAATATAAACATCACTTTTTTTCATTAAAGATGCACTTTACTGTGCTCCACCGCAAGTGAAGGAAAAAAAAGGAATTTTTCATGTCTGTTTTGTATTTAAAAGTTTAAAAATGTTAATGTAAAAGAGATAAGACCTAAAGTTTAAACCTTCAAAATCTGCCCCTTATGGAAAGTTGAATTATTTCTCATAATGAAAACTTTTGCTTTAAGTAATTGGGAAATTTTTTTATAAACTTATTAAGGTCTTTGAATCGGGTTACCAAAAATAGTTCAAATCGTTGAGTTGATACATTGTAACGTAATTGACATTAAAATCGATTAAAGGGAATATTTCAAATCTCAAGCAATGCGAATAGATTATCTCGATGGTTAAGAATATAATTAAATGTGTAAAAGATCCACTCATGAAATATCTTCATTAAAACACTCGGAAAGACAAGAAGTTTATTATCTCATTATAAATTATCACGTTCCTTCAGGAAAATTGGTCCAAATTTGCCAAATTTTACAACAAATTCCGCCTCAAAGAACCCTGCTTGCTCAAAATATTTAACACTCATTTCCGTTTTGTCGATATTGTAAGGTGACGAAAACCATGATCAATAATTTCGAATTCTGTTTCGTTGCCCGAAAGTGACTTAAGGTTTCGAAACCAATTGTCCTAAGTGAATAAGCGGTCAATCGACATAGAACAATCGACTGAAATCATAAAATTAGAAATTTGGAAAGAGAGCTAATCGGTTAATTAATATGGGAAACCAAAATGGGAAAAGTTTTGTGAAGTGGAGTTCTTTAATATGCGTAAGTGGCTTTCAGCATCATTTCTGGTCGCCTCTCTTTTATAGTCTGTTGAATACTCTCTTAATCCATTCCAGAACTATAGAAAAATTGATGCGAGCCTTAACAATGACAAATACACATTTGCCTGATTTTCGTAGATAAATATTTGTAATATCCTTTCTGTATTTCCATCACGTATAAGTCAACTTGCTCGAAAAAGTTGGCACTTCACCCATTAATCAAACATTTTTTGATTACATAGTGCAAATGATAAATGTAGGCCTGCATTAGTAGGACCTGATCTTATTTAAATAATAATTTTTCGCTGTACTCAGACGCTCTATAGGTTAAGAACAAGTGTTTAACAGTAAGTGTTCGGATCGTTTTGAAAATGTTGCAACATTGCTCAGGATATAACACAAGTTTTTTGTATATATTTAGAGAATAAATTGTAATTCAAGGATAAGGGATATTTTGACATTTGAAATATTTTTTTGCATAAACTGTGAAATGGACAATATATTTTAGGGAAAGGTGTATCAAAAACCTAATTGAACAGTACCTTGCTTGATGTATATTCTTATTATAGACGCCAAAGAAAAATGAATTAATTATAACAATTAAAACGTCCTTCTCTCTTTGCATAAGGGGTTTATTGTCATGTCCTCCAAATTTAAACCTAGTTATAATAAAAGTTGTTATTTATAGACTTAAGCTAAAATTGAGCCTACTTACTCAAAATCTAGATGAATATGTGTAAATCCTACCAATGGGACTTAAATTTGAACAAAAGGGGTGAGATTTTGGTCATAAATATACTACTCACATTTATCAGCCAACAGAGCCTCGAATGATTTTCTCCACCTATGTACTTGTTCATAGCTTGGTTTTCCGGAAGCAATCATTTTTAACAATTCATCTTGTTGGATCGTTTTTACCTGAGTGCATCTCTTGGAAAAGAATGGCAATGCCCTGAGCGCGAGAGAGAAAAGGAGGGAAATGTTATTAGTTAAACACGAAAAAAACAAACAAACGATTTTGCTATTTTTTGCATTGCTGTTTGCTATAACATTCCCACTCCACTTTTTTGCACTATTCGATAACGCTGAAAGCGAAATCGGACTCACTCTTTAAGCCAATTATAATCAAATGCATTCACCTGCTAGTTAGTGAACTTTCTGTCACTTCGGAAACGTCAAGCTTGCATTAACAATGGAAAAATAAGACCCACGCTTGCCAAATTTGAAGGAGTATAATTATTTCACCCGAAAGTAGTAGTACTATGTATTAAGGAGCGAAAGCTTAACCCCTAAGCCAAATTAATGCCTATATGTCATTACATTCTATCAATGAATTTTCATTGTGCCTTTTTTTCCTGAAAGGAAATCATGTTCTCCTCTTAATGCTTATGACTATAAATCATTCAAAAGCGTCTCAATAGTCTTGAAAATTAAATTACATTTTATCTTTCCAACTTGAACTTCGTCGAAGAGAATGCCCACAAGAAGCCTCCATAGATTCCAAGCTTCCAAAGTGTGCAGCATCAAGAGCAGCATTCCAGCTTTTTCGGAGTACTCTCTGCTCCACTGCACTCATTGTATTGGCCTGGCGTATTGGATCCTGGGCTGTAAGAGCGGTAGCAGCTCTCTGAAATACCATTTTGTGTGTATATATTAGGAAGATTAATTTTTCACTTTACTCTCAATTACTCGAAAACTCCGGGGTGTGTGATAGACTTACCTCCACGTGGTACACCCTGGGCAACGTATTCTCATATGGCAAAAAAAGTCTATTAACTGGCAGTTGACTTCTGACTTCTAACTACCATCACCCCACTGCATCATTTCAGCCTTACCTTTTACTCAAAATTTGTGCCTGTCTGTCTCTTTTACATCTGTGAATCATTATTCTGTGCCCCCCTCTTGATGTTTTATCACTTTGATGTTTCCCCTCCTCTGTGAAGCCTGAAGTCAGCTAAAGGGCTAATGATAACTATCAAAATGCCTGCCATTTGAAATAAATAAACATTAGGACGATTTATTTAAGTTGTCCTTAGTAGAACACATTTTTAATCAACAAAACTTAATTTTGTAAGTGGAAAAAACTGACAAATGTGATCTTAGACTTGCGAACTACAAAATATGGAATCAGATCGTCATG